TCCATTGTATATATGTGCCACATCTTCTTTATCCATTCATCTGTTGATGGACACTTAAGTTGCTTCCATGTCCTGGCTATTGTAAATAGAGCTGCAATGAACATTCTGGTACATGACTCTTTTTGAATTATGGTTTTCTCAGGGTACATGCCCAGTAGTGGGATTGCTGGGTCATATGGTGGTTCTATTTTGAGTTTTGTTTTTGTTTTTTTTGTGGTACGTGGGCCTCTCACTGCTCTGGCCTCTCCCGTTGCGGAGCACAGGCTCCGGACGCGCAGGCTCAGCGGCCATGGCTCACGGGCCCAGCCACTCTGCGGCATGTGGGATCTTCCCGGACCGGGGCACGAACCCGTGTCCCCTGCATCGGCAGGTGGACTCTCAACCACTGCGCCACCAGGGAAGCCCTGAGGGCTTGTTTTAGAAGGTGAAACACCCACTCCCTCCCGGGAGGGCCTGCCTGGGTGTCAGTAGATCTCAAGATTCAAAGGAGGGGGAGATGCTTCAGATGACAGGGAGGTAGGTTTCGCAGGTGCCATGGCAAAATGAAAGGTAAAGGGGAGGAGGAGCTGATGGCAAGAAGGCAAGATGGCGGGAGGCCAGGCAAGGCTAACGTGACCCCTGACTTAGTGCAACACCCCCACCGGACCCTTTGGCAAAGCCCAAGGACCCCACAGTGTGGTGTGATTAAATGTCGGGGAACCAGAGAAGCAGCCAGAATGCTGAGGACTGAAGGGGTTCCAGCAATGGAGTGACAAGGGAGGTGGGGAGGCCCCAGGGAGCGCTATCTCAGTGGGGGCCGAGGAGCAGCAGAACAGAGGCGGAGGGACCAGGAGACGAGAAAGTAAAGCACAGAGGTAGATGATGCTTTCCAGAATCTTGGCTTCAAAGAGGCTCCAGGAGCCCCGTGGTTAAATTCTCTTCCAAAGGCCTGAAAACCCTGTAATACCACCATTGAGCTATATTGCTTTCTTCTCTTTCTGGAAAAAAAAGATAAACAAAGCATATTGTGACGGTTTATGATTCAAAGTCTCACCAAACTCTGTGTTCCCCTTTTGCACGAAGACATATTTTACATCATTGGTACAAAACGAATATGCAGCGTTTTCAAAAGTTCCGAGGGAAATTCTCGTCCCAAAATTGTGCCAATGACTGAACAGAGAGGGGCCTGCCTCGAGGAGGAAATGGAGCTTTGATCGGAAGGTGACCTCCCCCTTCCCTTTGAAACAGGTTGATTGGTTGTGGACACTCTGGGGCAGCTCCCCTAAAAGTTAGGGGATCCAATTCTCCCCGGATTATTTTTTAAATACACCAAGAAGAAGACAGAAACCAGTGTGGTCACAACCAAACCTGCATGATGTTGTTTAGAGAGAAAAGGGAATGTAGAATAAACCTTCTGGACGGGTCTCTAGGTTTCTTGGTGTCTAGATATTTTCACCTCATTTCTCATTTTAACAGAACTAAAAATTAGGCTGAGCATAGACAAGGGGGGTCCTTCTTGTTTATGTGGAAGGGGAGCAGAGTGACTGGAAGTAGCCGGATGGGGAAGGGGAGGCAAGGGGGAGACTTTGATGGGAAGGACTTGAGCTTGTTTAAAGGCTGATGAGAAGCACACAGTTGAGAGGAAAGAGGCTGAAGACAATGAAAGGTTCTGAGGTTGCAGAACCAACGGGAGGGGCTGGATTGAGAGCTCGGGAGGTCTGGCCTTAGACAGAGAAAAAGGTGGGCGTGGGCGTAGCGAAGTTTGGTGAGGGGTGGGGGGAAGGAGAGCAGGAGGGTGAAATAAGTCCCATCGGAGGCAGGCGTGCTCTCTGCTCCGTGCAGCAGGCAGGGAGGGTGTGTGTTCAGAGCCACCGCGGGGAGATGGGGGTGGAGGTGGAGGTGGAGTTTGGAAAAGCCGATGTGGGCAAAGGGAGAAAAGAGCTGACCAGGGAGATAGGTTGGGGTGTCGGGATAGGAAGTTGGGGGCCCCCCAGCAACCATTCCCCCTTCTTTCACCGTGGTAGAAGATTTAGTGGTCACCCAAGGGCCAGAAACAAGGGTTGGGATTTTGTTTCTGTGTGTTTGCTTGTTTGTTTTTTCCCTAGCCCGACCATGTCCACCACGCACCTCCTTTCCAGATCCTGGAGTAGCCCCAAAACACATTCCGAGAGAGACTGGTGTCTGCAGCCCGAGCAGTGCGTATCAGATACCGATCCAGGCTTTCCGGGGACCCTGCACCCACTTGTACAGGGGTTCCAGCACCATCAACAGCCCAGCCTGCGAGGCGCCACTCGGGGCTCGGCTGGGAGGGAAGGAGCCCGCTCAGCTCCGTTGGGCGAGTTTTGCTCCGCACGCTGTTGGTAATATTCATGTATGCCGACCTTACTTTGTGTTAATCTTTTTTACACAGCTTTCCTGAAACAGGACATACAACAAGGCATAAAAATACAAAACACCCACGGCCCTATCACCCGGCGTAAGGAGAACAACACAAACATACTAACAGGACGGGCGGGGGGGCTGAGGGAGCGCGCGGCGGCTGCGGAGCGAGCGGGCGGGCTGGGTCCGGAGTGCGGGGAACGCGGGCGGCCGGGCGGCGGGCGCGCTGAGCTGCCGGGCCGGCCGGGCCGGGGCGTGGGCAGCGGCCCCTCCTCCTCGGGCTGCAGGTAAGGGCGGCCACGGGGAGGGTCCGAGGGGAACGGCTGGCCCCGGGGTCTCGGGGCCCCGGGCGGGGGGAACCGCCGGAGCGTCCCCCACTTCGGAACACCCCTAAACGTTATTGACCCCCAGAATTTAGAGGGGAGTACCCCAGAACCCATGGTCTAGAGAAAGGGAATGCCCTCCGAGAGGGGGACAGGCCCTCGCCCGCCCCTTCGTACCAGTTGGAGAGAGCTCCCACCCGGGGAGTCTCCCTCTAGGCTGCTCGGCGGCTCCACTGGCACCTTCACAGACTCAGGCCTCCCGAAAGAGGCCAACGGAGGATTCGCACTGCCTCTCTCCTAAGGCCGGCGTCTACCTCAGAAGCTTAGGCCCTGCCCCGTTATTCTGAGCGAGGTGGAAGACCCACGTTCCGGAGAGAAACTGTTCTGGGAAACCTGAGCCTGTGGGGTCCCAACTGGCTCTCTGGCCTCTGTGCCGTGTTGCGCGTCAGGGTCACAGGCGGTGGGATTCTAGGCACTCCGGGGCAGGTGGTGTGCGGCTGCCGCCCTCATGCAGTCAGCAAACATTCCGGCAGCTTTTTCTGTGCCATGAATTGGGCCAAGGACATGGCCGTGACCAACACCAGGCCCTTGCCTTCCTAGAGCCCGGAGTGTGTCAGGGGAGACAGCCAGGTAACCCCACAAATATAAACCAGATTTACTTTGGGGTAGCGAAGCCCGGGAGATGTGAGAGCTCAGGGGAGATGCAGCTGAATGTGAGGTTTGGGGGAGGCTCCCCTGACTCCTGAAAGCCAAGTAGGAGCCAGACAGAGAAGAGGTAAGAAAGTGGATGTATATCCTTAGTGCCTTTTCCACCTTTCAGTCTGGCAGAGACTAAACAGACTTTCCCCCGTCTGCAGAAATAGATGAATCCCTCTGTGTTATCCCTCCTTAAATGCACTTCACAGGGTGCCAGTTGCTGCAGAGACTTTACGGTATTTGAGCTATAAAGAGAATCATGGGAAAAGGAGATTGCATGTCAGGTTTGATTTCAGAGAGATCTCCATTGGAATCCACGTCTTTCCTTGTGTTTGAATTTGTTTTCATGATTATTATCAAAGATCGTGTTCCCTTTCAGAGCTGAGAACCAGCCTTGCTCCTGGATTAACAAGATCATTCAACAAATATCGCATACCTACTACCATTTACCAGACACGGTTTTAGATGGCAAGGATACACCAGTAAACACTCTTCACTGGGGTCACTGTTCTCATAGAGCAGGGAAGACAGAAGTAAAGAAACAAATCAAATAAATGAGATAATTTCATTAAAAAATAAAAAGTACTAACAGAGGTGAATTCCCCAGTGTCCCTCTCTGACTGCATCCCCTCCCCCTGCCTTGAGGCACCCGCTACCTCGAGTTTGGGGTGTATCCTTCCCTTGCTCCCCACCATGGGAGCCCAGAGAGGACAGCCATCTGTGGTGGGTCACGTTGCAGGTGGGTGAGGGGGCTGCATTGCGGCGTTGCCATAACAAATAGGAAGAGAAAGTATGGAAGCAACAGAACTCTCCTTTAGAGATAAAAATAGAGCAGTTTCAGAGGTAGAGACCACAAGCTCTCTGTCACTGATACAAAAGCTCTGACACAAGGAGTGACAGGTTTAGTGAGTGGCCATCCTAGGACACAGAAGCCTATGAGGGGACAACCCACAGGGCAATGACAAAGTGAGGGAGCTTGGACCAGGACTGACCCCTCCCAGCTGCTCCTGGCCAAGGGTTCCCCGATATCCAGGTGAGGAGTAGTGACCGTTTAATGGCAGAAGGAAGTGGCAGCACAGAGGTGGTCCAGGATGATCTGGCTGCTAAGTTGCGCTGAGTCCATTCTCTGCTGAGGGGTTAGTTTTTCCTGTTAAGTCAATGCTCAGATGGTTCTACCCACCAGGCTCACATTTGGATCAGGAAAATAAAATGGATTGTTAGGCCGTCTTGGAGCACTTCCTAAGGGACAGATGAACGAGAGGCTGTTGGTTGACATTTAACTGTAGTTCCAAATTTGTCAACGTCTCCTTGCAATATGTCCGCATCAGCCTGGAACTAGACTGGACTTGGAGGCCCGAGGGGCTGCCTGTTTTCCAGGCTGTACTGCCAGCACTCTCCCCCTCAACCCTGTCGCATGCTGGGCACAGGCCACCTGCTTGCATTGTAGGGTCAACTGCCCAAGCTCCTACCAAGGGTAGTTTTCTTTTCAAAACTTCTTTCTCCTCTCTTCATTCTTGGTATAGGTCACATGGTATGACAGCTTGAGCTGCCGTGACAAAATGCTATAGACTGGGTGCCTTAAACAACAGAAACTTCTTTTTCACAGTTCTGGAGGCTAGAAGTCCAAGATCCAGATTCCAACAAGGTAGGTTTCATTCTAAGGCCTCTTTTCTTGGCTTATAGATGGCCACCACGTCCCTGGGTACTCACATGATCTCTTCTTTATGTGTGCAGGGGAGGGGGAGGAGGAAGAGAGAGCTCTGTTGTCTCTTCTTCTTATAAGGACACCAATTCTATCAGATTAGGGCCCCACCCTATGACTTCATTTAACCTTAATTACATTTTAAAGACCCCATCTCCAAATATATACATTGGAGGTTAGGACTTCAACATATGGATTATGGGAGAGCGCGATTCAGTTCATGGCACATGGACACCCAACCAACTGCTCATAATCTGATCTGCGACTCCACAGAGAGTAGTAAAAGTAAACCTATAAGCATTGGAAATGTTCTGTGTCTGGGTGGTAGTTATATAAAGGTGTGTGTGTGTGTGTAAAAATTCTTTGATGTATATACGTAAGATTTGTGTACTTGACTGTGTTATGCCTCAATAAAAACATTTTTTGTTTAATGAGCACACACACAAAAAAGAGAATCCAATTAAGGCTCTGAGGCCTTTGGGAATGAAGAAGGTAGCCTCTGATGTCTTTAGGCTAAGTGACACCAAGGACTTAACCTGTAGGAAGGGAAGGAACTTAACTTTTATTGAGCATTTTGGTTAGTCAGGGTGGTTCTGGATATAAGAAACAGAAGTTCACTCATGTGTCAAGTATAAAGTGTCCTATATGAATCCCAAGGAATCTGAAGAGCTAGGCGTCACAAGGGACAGAAACTTGGGGCATTCCCTCATTACTAGCTCTCTCTCTCTCTCTCTCACTCTCTTTCTCTCTCTCTCTCTCTCTCTTGCAGTGTCTGCCTGTGCCTATGCATCTGCCCCATTCCACTCTTTGGATCCATTTCCTCTCCTTTTTCCTCATCGTTCTAATATGGCTGCCACAGCTGCTTAGTCAATATGAGTCTCCATCCTCAGCTTCCACAATGAACTATTCCTTCCCTTTGTGTCTCTTAGGTCAGCCTCCTGAGAAGGGCATTTGGTTGCGTTCCAGCACACCTCTTTAAGCCAGTCTCCAGGTGCCAGTTAAATGGCTAACGTTGGGTCCAAACATCTGGAACCAGGAAGAAGGAGGCCATAGTACAGTTCAAGGTCATTTAAGAGGTAGGTCCTGAGTTAGGATAACTTCTTTTCAAAAGAGCTGTGGAGGGGCAGGCAACAAGTGATGAATATCTCAGGAATGGGTGTCTATTTAGTAGATGTTGGGATTTTCAGGATTTTTATATATTTTCTTATAGTGTCTTTGGTTTTGGGATTGTGGTAATGCTGGTCTCAAACAATGATCTGGGAAGTATTCCCTCCTCTTCAATTTTCTGGAAGAGTTTGTATAGAAGTGGCATTGTTTCTTCCTTAAATGTTTGGTAGAGTTCACCAGTAAAGCCATCTGGGCCTGGAGTATTCTTTGTGAGAAGGTTTTTTTAGCTGCAAATTCAATTTCTTTGATAAATATAGGGCTATTCAAGTTATCTATTTCTTATTGAGTGAGCTTTAATAGTTTGAGTCTTTCAAGGAAATTATCCATATCATCTAAGTTATAGAATTTCTTGATATAAAGTTGTTCAAATATTCCCTTATTATCCTTTTAATAGCTATACAATCTGTAGTGATGTCCCCTCTCTCATTCTTGACATTGGTAATTTGTGTTTCCTCTATTTTTTTCCTGGTCACTCTGGCTAGAGGTTTATCAGTTTTATTCATTTTCTCAAAGAACCAGCTTTTGGTTGCATTGATTTCCTCTGCTGTTCTGCTGTTTTCTCTTCATTGATTTCCTCTTTGATCTTTGTTATTTCCTTTTATTTCCTTAATTTGGACTTAATTTATTCATCTTTTCCTAGTTTGTTAGAGTAGAAGCTTGAGATCAGTGACGTGAGATCTTCCTTCTTTTCTAATATAAGCATTTAGTGCTATGAGAGCACAGGTCCTTGATGACATTCCTGTTCAAGCCTCATTTGAGGCCAGCCTAAATCCAGACCACCTGTTCTCAACTCTCTCAACATTAGAACCACCTGGAGGGCTTCTAAAAATACCTATGCCTCGACCCCACCCTAGGCCAATTAAATCAAAATCTCTGGGAATGAGCTCCAGTATGACTAGTTGTCAAAACTCACCAGGTGAGTCTAAGGAGTAGCCAGGATTTTCAATCACCACACTAGGGCAGTGTTTCTCAAACTGATAAAGGCAGTTTTGGTTTATCATTTCCAGTTTTATATTTCTATTATCCCATTGACTGTAACATTTTGTAAAATACAGTGAAAATGAACCATATGGTTTCTAGAAGTTTCCCTTATGAAAAGTGGTGTTTCCATTGCCTCATAAACTCAGATGTTCTCATTATTCTTTATCATTATCAACAGTGGAGGAAAGGAAGTTTGTAGAAAGATGACGTAGGGTCAGGCCTTTCAAGATGGCTGTTCTCTTGCTCTCTGTACATCCCCTGCTTGACCAGTCCCTCCTTCACCTACACCCTACTCACACGACTGTCCAATCCTCTTAATCATAGGGCTTTAATAGTAACTGCCTACGTGCTCGCCCCCACCCGCCCCAGCCGCTGGTTTCCCTGGTAACTGATGAGCCAACCTGATGTCAATTCCCCCTGTAACTGGTAACGTCCTTCTCCCCGTAGAGTTGCGAAGACTGCCGCTGCGTCCTGCTTGCCGTCTGCTGTACACGGTGGGGTGTCACTCCAGGACGTTGCTTCGGACATGTAAGATCCCCTGTCCAACCTATCACCGATGTCTCTGTCACTGTCTCTGGGGTCTTTCTTCAGTCTTGCAGCTGGCCAATTACAAGACTTTCAGGCCTGTGGGGTGCAGCCAAACAGATGATCATGCATGTAGTTGCTTCAGCAGTGTAGTTCTGTCTCACTGTGGACCATTCAAGGTTTTGGATGATGTTGTATTTTAGCGATGTTGCACCGTCTAGATCTCTTGCGTATGTGTCAATAACTTCTTTTTATTGTTTAAACCTACTTGAGTTGGGTTTTCAGTTATAAGAGGATGATTCCAACTGAAGCACCCTACCATAGATGTATCCAACCATTCTGCAATCACCTGTTGACACATTATCCTCTCTTTCTCACTCTCTTTCCCACACAAAAGCTGCAACCATCCCAGGCAAGGGCCATGGTTTGTTTGATGATGACTGTGTGATCACTCTGTACTCTCACTGTGGCTCCATTTACTACAGGACCTTAACCAAGATGATACAAACTTCCTTTCCTCCGTTGCTGATAACGCTCAAGAAAAATGAGAACACCTAGGTTTAATAAGCAATGGAAATACCATTTTTTAAATAAAGAAAACCTCTAAAAGCTACACAACTGCCGATATGAATTTTTGCATATTTGCATTGTTCTTTTTGATGTTCGAATCATCCCATATTTGACCACAGGGAGCCTCTTCAGGTCGGCTCCTGTGTCCTTTTAATCTGACCCCATGGACTTTGATACCTTCCTTGTTCATCTGTCCCAGCCCTGGAAAGGCCGTTTCTCAGGAGCCCTGGTTCCCTTTAGCAGAGAATGATATTTAGAGAGTAAGATCTAGGCAAGATAGATACACTTTCTAAACACAGAAATTACATGAGTTTTCAAAAGATCTGTTTTTACCATAACTAGTGGGCTTTTCGTTAAGTCAGTTAATGACCTGAAATCATTGGAATTTAGGGTGGTTTTGGATTAAAGCATTTTCTCAACCTCAGCACTATTGACATTTGGGGCTGGGAAATGCTTTGTTGTGGAGACTGCCCTGTGCGTTGTAGGGTGTTTAGCAGCATCCCTCGCCTCTACACACTAGATGCCAGTAGTACCCTCCCAGCTGTGACAACCAAAAATGTCTCCAGACATTGCCGAATGCCCCTTGGGGTGGCAAAATCATCCCCCATTAAGAACCACTGGATGGCCTGTGGCTTCTGTGGAAAACATCCTGGAACAAACCAGAGAGACTCTGGCCCTGTTGCAACATCCTTAACAGTTTCCTGCCTCTATTTCCCTGTGTGTCTATTGGGACAATGGCTACAGGATAAAACAACACATTGTGGGAAGCAGTTTGACCTGCAAAGACTCATCGGCGTGAAAGTGAGGAGCAGACATTACATCACAGGCAGCACCACACTGAAGCCACATGTCGGTTTTTGCAAACTCTGCTGAGATAGTACAGCTTCTGATTGAACTGACTCAAGTCCTGAAGATTACTCAAACTCTTGTGTTCCCACCAGGCCTCTTTTTAGTGTCAGCCTTATATAAGAGCTTTCATTTTACTGTCACCAAGAGAAAGTCCCATTCAATTCATACCAGATGCTGAGTCGTCGTGAATCAATACAACATCATCCAAAAACCACCAAAATGAATCATAAGGACAAACAGGACTTTTTCTCCCAGCAAAACAGTGACTAAAATAGTGTTTTGCCCTTTCAGAAAAAAAAAAGTTACAAGGTTAATAAGACAAGGCTTCAGGCCCTGCTGGTGTCACACACGTGTCTGTGGGCGTGAAGTGGTTAAATTGCGTGTCCTCAGCAAGACAGTGTATGAGGCCTGCAGCTGAGCCAGACAGAGGCTGGCGAGAGGAGGTGAGACTTGGACATCAGGGGCCCTAGACTGGGAGTCCAGTGATGACCTGAAACTGTTATGCAACCCTCCTCCATGCGAGTGGCAAGGGTATCTGAGACTCAGATTTTAGGAATCTCTACCGTGGAGGAGAGGCTCCTGGGAACTGTGGAGGCTCTTCCAGGAAATGAGCATCCAGAATCTTCTCCCGATAGAGCCGGGGAGATCCCCAAGACTTGTTTCTCAGTCCTGCCTCTGCTCCCTGGATGCTGGGAATAGCACTCCGATTACCTATGGAAGTGAGAAATGGTGTATGTCCTCCCTGGGGTGGGAGGGAGTGGGCCCACCTAGGCACTGTCTCCTGGCCTCTGACCCTTGAATGGAGGGAAGCAAAAGCAGAGAAGAGATGGCGGCTGACACATCCCCGTAGTGGCTGGATGAGTCTCTCAGTTGGTTCCTGCTTCTGGGTCCCCAAGGCCTCCCAGGTTCCTGTCCTTTGCAGACTAGGTTCTTCCAGTTTCCCCTTTATTGTGTGAGGGACTCCCTATCCTTCCAATGGATTTCCTTTGCGACAAGGTCAGTGTCTGTTTTCCCACCGCAGCACCAAGTCATTGCTGTCAGAGGCACTGAGAGCTGTGTGTCCCATTCCATACCCCACAGACTATTGCAGGAGCCCGGGAACACGGGCTGCAGAGCCCTGCTCGATGATATTCACAAGGTACGAGTCAGAAGGTCTCCCCTCAGTAAAGGCAAAATGGGAGCAATGGAGGCCGAGAGCTCCCCGCAGTTACTGTGTCAACACTGATCAAGGAACTGAATCATCATATGATATCACTTATATGTGGAAACTAAAATATGGCACAAGGACTTCCCTGGTGACGCAGTGGTTAAGAATCTGCCTGCCAATGCAGGGGACAGGGGTTCGAGCCCTGGTCCGGGAAGATCCCACATGCTGCAGAGCAACTAAGCCCATGCGCCACAACTACTGAAGCCCATGCGCCTAGAACCCGTGCTCTGCAACAAGAGAAGCCACCGCAATGAGAAGCCCGCACACTGCAACAAGGAGTAGCTCCCACTTGCGGCAACTAGAGAAAGCCCGTGCGCAGCAACAAAGACCCAGCACGGCCAAAGATAAATAAATAAATTAATTAATTAATTTTAAAATGCTTTAAAAAATAAAGATAAAAGATGGCACAAATGAACCTATCTACAAAACAGAAACAGACTCATAGACATAGAGAACAGACTTGTGGTTGCCAAGGGGGGGAGGGGAGGGAGAGGGATGGACTGGGAGTTTGGGGTTGGTAGATGCAAACTATTACATATAGAATGGATAAACAGCAGGGTCCTAATGTATCACACAGGGAACTATATTCAATATCCTGTGATAAACCGTAATGGAAAAAAATATTTAAAAAGGATGTCTGTATGTGTATAACCGAGTCACTCTGCTGTACAGCAGAGAATGGTACAACATTGTAAATCAACTTACTTCAATAAAATAAATAAATAAAAATTTAAAAAATATTTGTCAAGATTTTTCTACCTTAAAAAAACGGGGCGGGGGGGCTTCCCTGGTGGCGCAGTGGTTGAGAGTCCGCCTGCCAATGCAGGGCACACGGGTTCATGCCCCGGTCCGGGAGGATCCCACATGCCGCGGAGTGGCTAGGCCCATGAGCCATGGCCACTGAGCCTGCGCGTCTGGAGCCTGTGCTCCGCAATGGGAGAGGCCACAACAGTGAGAGGCCCGCGTACCAAAAAAAAAAAAAAAAAGGGGGCTTCCCTGGTGGCGCAGCGGTTGAGAATCTGCCTGCTAATGCAGGGGACACGGGTTCAAGCCCTGGTCTGGGAGGATCCCACATGCCGCGGAGCAACTAGGCCCGTGTGCCACAACTACTGAGCCTGCGCGTCTGGAGCCTGTGCTCCGCAACAAGAGAGGCCGCGATAGTGAGAGGCCAGCACACCGCGATGAAGAGTGACCCCCTCTTGCCACAACTAGAGAAAGCCCTCACACAGAAACGGACACCCAACACAGCAAAAATAAATTAATTAATTAATAAACTCCTACCAACAACATCTTAAAAAAAAAAAAAGGAACTGAATCATCAATGTGGATCCAGTGAGGGACGCTGAATTTGGACTAATGGACAGCTAAGCCCTACGGCACCAAAAGAAGATGGAGCTGTTAACAGAGAGACCCTCGGTGCTACTCCAGTTTTCAGCAGTGCTCTGTGGAGGGGCCTGGGCATGCAGGCTCTGCTGTGGGACCCCTGGGTGGCCCCCAGGAATCTGTCTGGGCTGTGCCTCTGGACCCCTCCATTCTCTTACATGTTGTGTGGCCTAGCTTCCCCCACTCCTACAATGACTATTTCAATTCTTCATTCTTTCAAATCTCCACGGCCCTCCCATCCCCCTCACTCCCAGCAGAAGGTGAATTTCTTATGCCACAGAAAAAAGTTCAGACCATCATATGGGGACCCCTTCAACTTCCCAGCACCAAACCTACACCATCCTGCCCTCTAACCTGCCCCAACCTAGGCACTGTAGGATGTGTAGCAGCGTCCCTGGCCTCTGTCCACTAGATGAACCCCGCTAGTAATGCCCCCTAGACATGATAATCAAACATGTCTCCAGACATTGCCAAATGTCCCTCGGGGTATAAAGTCACCGGTGAGAACTCTTTTTAATTTAATTTAATTTTATTTTATTTATTTGGCTGTGCGGGTCGTAGTTGTGGCACGCGGGATCTCTAGTTGCGGCGTGTGGAATCTAGTTCCCTGACCAGGGATCGAATCCAGGCCCTCTGCATTGGGAGCACAGAGTCTTAACCACTGGACCATGAGGGAAGTCCCTACCAGTGAGAACTCTTGACCCAGACCAACCTCTGGCCGCTCTGTCTCAAACTTGTAGCCCACATCTGATCCATGGGAAGTGCACACATGGGACCAACCTTCACCTACCTCTCAAATAGAGAGAGCACTTTGTGAAAGCGCAGCCACTGCCAGACAGCCACGCCTCCCCTGTAGATTTCCTCCCCTGGCTCTAGGGACCACCCTTTGAGTTCCCTATTTGGCCCCCCTAGTTGATTTGAGAAAATAGGAAGCACACCCCACGCCCCTTCTTTCCATGGTACAAGCCTCTCTTCCAGAAATCTCCTTTATAGTTTCTGGTCCTCTCTTGGGCTTTCCATCCATCCTCTTTATAAGCTGGAGGTGGGTGGTCAATACAATGACTCAGAACTAGTTCTCAGACATTTCCCTTCCCAGTCCTGCTTAGGTGGTCTAGCATCCCACGTTGGAATCGGGGAGCGGCTGCCTCTCTTGGCGGGGGCCTCAGCCAGCTGTGAGGCAGAAAGAACTTGTATTCACATCTGTGTGCCCCTTAGAACTGCCTTCTCTCTTCCTCTCGGGATCCTTTCTCAATTCAATTTAGTCAACCTCTCCTTCCCAATTGAAGCTTTCCCACTGACATTTAAGCATGTTTAAATCCCTCCCATTTAAATAAATAAATAAAATAAAATAAAACTGCTTTGACCACAGAGCTCCTCATAGCTACCACTCTAATTCTCTCCTCCCCTTCAAAGCCAAACTAGTGAGAAAGCTCTCTACACCCACCGTCTCCCTTTCCTCACCTCCCACTCTTTCCAGTCTGGCGTCCACCCTTATCAGTCCCCCGAAACAGCTCTCACTGACATGGTCAGCGATCTCTGCAGAGCTGAGCTGAGGCTGGAGGGCAGGAGGCTGGCCTGACCCCACTCAGGACGCTGGCCACGGGAGCAGCGGCAGGGATGGTGACAGCTGGCGTTACCCAGAGTTGTGTGTGGGAACCACAGATGATAGAATGGAATTTCTGAGCTGTATCAGAAAGAACATCTGGCCTTGAGTCCTGGGAATGTGCCCCCACCTCCTTGCCCTCATTCATTCAGTCAGTCTTGATTGAGTACAGCTTGAGCCAGGCCCGGAGGTGGACACTTGTGTTACACTTTGAAGGACCCAGGCGTGGTCTCTGCCCTCATGGAGCTACCCATCTACTTGGGGAAGTAGGAATTAGTCAAAGAGCCGTGAAAGTACCCAATGACAATCTAGATGTTTTATAGAGGAAAAGTGCACAGTGTGTGATGGTGAGATCTGATCTCACTGGAGGGTCTGAAAAGAGATTTTTGAGGCTGACGTCTGATTGATGGGTAGGAATTAGCTAGTCCAGGAGGAAGGAGGAAGAAGAAGGGAATAAAAGCATTGGGGGAAAGGAGTAAGGGCAATGTTCCCCCCAGAGACCAGGCATTCCAGAAGTGGAAGGGACTGGGAGGGGTTGGGGGGAGAGGGGTGAGACGTGCTGAATAGAAATTAGATTTTTATCTATGCTTCGTAGTCTTTGTGCCGTGACCTTCTCCTGCCGCTTTCTGAGGGACTTCGGCACCCTCGGCCACCCTGTATGGTTAACTGCTTTTATTTCCTTTTCTCCCAGGGCTGTGTGCTTCATGGCCTAGCTCCTGCCTGTCCCTCCTGTAACCTGAATGGGAGCATTCCACAGAGTTCTACCCAGGCCTTACTCTCTTCCCCACCCACTTCTTCTTTGACATCGGCTCCCGGTTTTATGGCCTCCCACTTCCAACAGATCTCCAGTCCCAGAACTCTCTCCCGACACCCAGGTTTATAGTTCCATTTGCCCAATGGTCATCTCCATGCAGACACCCTGCCACCATCTCAAACACGGCAGACTGTAGTTTAAAAATGTAAGTCTCTGGACTTCCCTGGTGGCACAGTGGTTAAGAGTCCGCCTGCCAATGCAGGGGACAAGGGTTCGAGCCCTGGTCCAGGAGCATCCCACATACCACGGAGCAACTAAGCCCGTGCACCGCAACTACTGAGCCTGCACTCTAGAGCCCGCGAGCCACAAGTACTGAGCCCGCGTGCCACAACTATC